TCAAGAGTAAACTTTGCCTCCATGCAGCCTTTGGGCAGGAGGCAACAGCAGAGGCACACACGGTTATGCTTCTCTCGCTTCTCCCTGCTTGTGCTCCAGCCAAGTTGCCAGGTCTGGTTTGTGCTCTCTGTCACAAAGGTACCTGTATCCCATTTAGTTCAGATGAGCACTCACCGTTGCCTACACAGGTAATTTCCTGCACTGTGTCCCACTTTCTCAGCAACACAAGCTCCCATTCAGCAAGGCACTTAAGCACAGGAACTTACTGCCTTCAGCAAGAGCTAAGCACAAACTCCAGAGCTTTGCTGATTAAGCACAGAGCTGACCATTCCTTTCCCTCTAGAGCATCTCACTTTGCAGGAGAGTCCCACGAAAAAATTCCATCTGTCCTCTTCACTTGTCTGGTAATTTCTATCGTGCCCTGAAAACACGCAACAACACTGTTAGAGTCAGAATCCTACAGATACTGTACAAGACGACGCGTGCCAAGCACACATCCCTGTCAGGGCAGACGAAGCGCTACAATAGCAGAAGTGATCCTGATCATGCGTCTTCTCTTCTGGACTAATTTTTCCCAATATGGCACCAAACCAAAAGCGGTGGCATTGCTTGGATTGACAAATCAGATCCAGTTGATGGATCACAAGAACAAAGATGATTGCATGACTCAGTCTCCCTCCATCTGTCTTTACAGAGATGGAAGGATGCTCCCCAAATCCCTTAATAAATTGATCCCTGCGGCCTCATCCTCATCTGTGCCCTCACTTCTAGGCACTGAAATCTGTGCATCTTTCATTTGTCCTCAAGGAAAACAGTGAAGTTCAGTTTGGGTCTGTGATTCTTGCAGGGAATCCAACTGGGGACCGGCTGGGGCTCATCCCAATACCAACGAGAAAAGGAAGCTCTTTCAGCTTTAGTTATGAGGCGAGGCCAAAAGCCACTGGCATACATACATAGAGGTTCCTTCTGCTCACACCTCTGTTTTATTGAAAATAATTAGTTCTCATTTATCCTGGAGCTCTCCAACTAACTCCAGAATTAGAAATGGTGATGACATACCCTGAGAAGGTGGAGCTCAAGTATTTGGGAGAGAACACAATAATCGTGTCTGGTCTCACATGCTTCTGGTCAGAAGCGTTTGATGATTACTGTTGTAACACAAAAACCACTAAGGATGCCTGCCGTTTCCCACTTTCCTGTGTTGTCAGCAAGATCGTGAGAAAGCTCCAATCTCCAGTGGAATTTACAATTTATTTTTCAAAGTGACGGTATCAGAAATACTCCCCAGTCTCTTGTTCTCTTTACCTCCCCTGTTCCCTTCCTGCCTCCCAGTTTCTAGCTGATCTCTGAAACCAGGATGCCGCAAGAGGAACAATGTACCTGGGGAGGCAAAGGGTTCTGTGCTATTCACTGAAGCCCTCAGCATCATGGCTGGATGGAAAACCCTTCTGAAGGCCTAGTTCTGGCTCAGCCCAAGTCACGGGCTTGATACCATAATCCCTACATGAAAGGGTTATGCAAAGGGTGAGAATAGGTGATGATAAAGTTCCCTTCCAGCCAAAACAATCTATGAACCTCCAAGGAAATCCACCATCCTCTGGCAAGAGCCTGGACCAGACTTTTCGAAGTGTAACAATGTCTGGCTCCAGCATCGCAGGGGCAGTGCCTCTGAAGAGCTATGAAATCATCTCTTCTGCTTGGGAGGTTCGGCAAGCTACGTTGGCATCGCCTGTAAGCCACAGACCACAAGACTGGAATGCTGGGAACAAAACCAGAGCAGATACATTCAGAATGGCTTTAAAGCTAATGTTACACTGCTAAAAAGGAAGAGGGGGGAAAAAAAAAAGAAGAAAAAAAAATAAAGGCACTTTAACTGGCTTTTCACTATAATAAAAGTGAATTCAGAGATTTCCTTTGAACATGCTGGAAAGCCACTGTGCAAACCAGCCTGCTCAGCAGGCCCAAGGTGGGAATGGCAGAAGCTGCTGCAAGTCAGGACCAAGGTACCTGAGCAGAGCTGTGTGGGAGGCAAGGCCTGGAGAAGCAGGAGAGCAGCAGCTTTCGAGAGAACAGGAGCTGGTGGAGATTAATGAAGGAAGCTCAGACAGTATCTGTCTGTAGGAGGCCTGGCTCAATTCAAGGCCATTAACTTGTTGCTTTCTGAACACCACCAGCAGGAGTGGAAACAAAAGCATGTCTGCCCAGCATGGGTCATGGTGAGCGATTGCTTAAATACTCCAGCAGAATGAAGAGCATTAGGAAAGGCAAAGAGCCACTGCAATGGCTGTGCAGCTCACAGGGCTGCAAGTTTTTGCATGAAGCCCAAGCCAAAACCAGGCAGGCAACTGGGATGTAGCCTTGAAAGTAGAAACAAATAAATTATTAGCCTTCATTTTCTCCCATTCAGGAGTTAAATTTAAAGGGGAGTCCATCGACTTTAAATAAATCATGTTTATAATTAAAAACATTTTCCTGCACTGCTTACAAGCCTTTGGATGATTAATAAGGCATTTTTCAAATTACTTTAGTTCACACTAATTATGCTGCTTGTTTACCCCAGTCAATAATTTTTCTTCCAGGGAGATAAAGCTATCCCAGGAGGAGGTCTTCCTCCGGGGAGCAAGAGGGAAAGGACCCCAGGGAACTGCCTAAGGCACCAGGAACACATGGGAGGTCTTTCACTGAAAGCAACAGAGCTGGTTACATGAGTCACATCACGTCCGACACTCACAGGACTCCTTTTGCTAAGCCCAACTCTTTGCCTGGATAAGAAGAGGAGATATGAGTTTGCTCAGCTCTCAGAGGCCTTGAGCTTTTTTTTGCCTAGACCTTGCCTGAGGTACCAACCCCTGGGGACCAGACTTGGTAGGTTTAGCACGAAAACATAGCAGCGACTACACAGCTACTGGGTTGGGTCACGCTTGTGCCCAGCAGAAGCCAAATGTGCTTAGAAAGAAAGAAGCTTTATCTCCTCCTATTTCCTTTGCAGACACTGGAAAGTCTCTTAGCCCTTTAGAAAATAGAGTACAACAAATGGAACAAGAATTCTCTTCCCAGTTACTTGGTTCTCTTTCAACATTATTTAAAAGAGCTAGTTATATTAAAAAAAAAAAAAAGCAATAGAGCTGACTGCAGCCCACCTTCGTGGTGTGAATGGATTTGCTGGGTCACCTTTCCACAGGAAGGGCTGGAATGTCCCGACCCAGAAGCCTTCGGGTAGCAGACATACCAGTACCTGCAGGGTGACACAGGGATGCGGAAGCTATGAACTGATCATGCTGCCACATGCCCAAAGAGTATTCCTGTTGCCCTTCCAACGCTTTACAAATCAGGCTGCTGCTGGTTTGACACGCCAGGACTCCTGCAGACTCTCCAAAGATAGCAATGACATTTCCTCATCTTTTTACTCTTTCTCCCCTGTTTCAAGACAGCAGTTATTTCATAACCTACATGTCTCTATGGTTGACAGTTATTCTTAGGCAACTGTAAGCTACGAGTGTCTTGCTAACAAAATGTACATGCTTTGTGTAGCACAGAATGCTCTTCAATCAGCAGTGCACCCACAATAGACCTTGTTGCTTCGTGAACTAGAACAAGGTAGGAGATATCAGGCAAGGCTTTCCCTTCTTGAGAGATGAGAGCAGGCATTGGTGAGACTCATGATAACAGACGAGGAAAAAATCCTGTAGTTACCTAACGGTGGCCCAAATCCTTCAGATCAGGCACGCGGAAGCATGTGAGTTTCTGTGGAAGCCTGATTTATATTAATCAAATCAGCATTGAAAAGCACTACCACAAAATTTATTCTAATACCTGTTGTACCACACCCTAAAAATAACAAAAGAAAACAAGCTGAGATAAAAGATATTTGCTGTCAAAGGTGGGGAAATACCTTCAGAAAGCCACAATGTTGGCTTCCTCTAAGAAATGAAACAAGAGTGGTAGACATGCTTCAGATTTCTTATCAAAGACAGGTGTCTTGTCTCCTTGGTTTTAGCATACCACCGTGACAGGGCAGTGCGGTTCGTAACCTGGGGGCTGCCGCCAGCAAGAATGGTTTCTCACTGTTTAAGCAGAAGAAGCAGGTAATTCTGTGTAAACCCTGGTCCCGTGAGCTGCTTGTGATACTCCGCACTCTGGAGGTGCCCCAAAACTGGCATCATTTCTCACTGTTCAAGCAGAAAAAGCAGGTAATTCTGCGTAAACCCTGGTCCCGTGAGCTGCTTGTGATACTCTGACTCTGGAGGTGCCCCAAAACTGGCATCAGCCCCAAATCTTTGCAAGCCTGAACCTTGCCTGATATGAATTTATGGCACCTGAGCTATAGTGTGCTAGCTCCCTGGATGAACATCCTCGTGGACAGGGAGGGCAAGGCAGCCTAATCTGCTTTCTCCACAGGTTATCTGCACACCATGAGGCACCCACGGGGAAGCTGGCACAGAGAAATTAGCACGCTCGCAGCTCCTGCCCTCAGCCAATGTATTTTAACTTGTGGATTTGCACAAACCTGAATGACTAGAAGAGAGCTGCATGAGATAAGTTGGCAAAGGGATCTGTATTAGGCATAGTAATCAGTTGCAAAGAAGAGCAGATTTACCCTTTGAATGTTTTTTGTTCCCAAGACAAGAGCACACAACACAGAGGTAAGGCTGACGCTCTCCGTTTCATGTGGAAATCCAGAGTAAAAGTGACTTGCTACTCAACTTGCTCAGCTGCTGTAAGACAGCATTGACCATTTCTTAAGTTGTTAAAACCATAAATAATTAAAAAAACCCTCAGACCAGTAGCAAGGCATTTAAAAGATCGCTTGGTCTCCTCTTAGAGCATTCGTCCTTGGCAAAACTCACTGAAGTGATGCTAGGCACTGCAAAAGGCACTCAGGTCCTGCGTGTGCTGAACTCTGCAAAAGCATGTCTCCACGAGGACACGCCGCACACGGCCACGGAGAGGCTCCAACCTAAAAAGCGTGCCCCGTTTCCTCAGGGCTGTGCCCTGTTTCCTTAGGGCTGAGGGGCGGCGGGCTTGCGGTACTTGCACTGGATCCAGACCCGATACATGGTCATCTGTTTCCCACGGTTCACCTGCAATCGCCGATCAATCAGATTCTGGATTTTCTCCAGCCCAGCTGTTGTGAAGAGGCCATCTAATTCATCTGGAGGAGAGAGAAGGAGATTGAGGAGGTCACAGCTCTCATTTAACTGATGCTTGCTCGCACTGAGGGCTAAACTATGTTGAAAGATGGGCCAGAGGAAAATCATGGTTTCGCTCTGGCAGGGAAATGTAAAGACTAGACAGGACTTAACTACTGCACTATGGGGGGAATAAGATCACAGTTTCTCTAGCTTCCCTTGAGTTTCCCTTCTACCAAGGAATGAAAAGAATCATTTGGAGGATGACTAGAATTATAGAGACTTGAGAAACAGAAAACAGCAGCAGTTTCAGACATGGGTATTGCCTCTCGTAACCGATTAAGGGAGGGAGCATCTGCTGGCGAGTAGGGACAGATCCATTCCTTCCCCCTCCCCCCTCTCTCCAGAGGAATTTTGGAGTTTGCAAGAGCAAAGAACAGGATCAGAACTACACTTTCAAATGGTGGCAACGAGATCTGTGCTGCATAGGCTGGAGGGGAACGGGATTCATTAAGGTTAAGTTTGGGGAAAAAAAAAATCCTTAAGAAACCACACCCTGCTGGGGCCCAATCAAAGCACTGGGAGCCCTCGAGGCTGCAACACTTCACACTGGCAGGTATTCCTGACCCAGCAAACAAGCATCACAGTGCCCCAGCACACCGGCCGTGGGCAAAGCCAGACTGAGCCCTGCTGAGCAGCAGAGAGCTTGTTCAACTGCAGCCTGGGAGCACGTGATTTGTACGGAGTTTCTGTAGAAAAGGGCTAACAGGTCCCAGCTTGTGCTCTTTTATCAGATGCTCGCCATCATGAAGCGTTTGCCAAACACGCATTAAACATTAATTTTGTTGTGACAAACAAGGCTTGTGCAGTGGGGAAGGGCACAGTTGGATGCAGTTGTGCCGCTGCTCTAAAACTGACCATACAGAGGGGCCTGTGGTGGAGGTGACTGGAGGTG